TAATGTGATGATTTCTATCACATATTGTTTTCCTCCACTGAGCTGGAAGTAGGCTCAGAATCCTCATGAATATCCCAGCAGAACTTGAAGGGCAGCTTCTCCAACCTCTCCTTAAAGACGCTGTCAAACCTTTCATTCTGTGCAACAGTCAGTGTGTTCTTCCAGTCTCCAATAGTGCCTAGTAAACAGTGGTAAAAATATGGCAGAAGTTTTATAATTTTAATTGAACTAGAGGTGATTATCTCATCCTGTCACCAAAATGTTCATTCTTACACTGGTATGTGACTCAGTTTGTGTAGGAAGGTGTATATGTAACATTTCAGGACTTCCAGAGGGGGCAATAGTGATGAAGATCAAAAGTCTTCTAGAAGTGGTTTCCAGTGTGCAATTTCCTTCCCTACGATGGGCTTCTCAGAGCCTGAGAAAGTGGATAATGGTTGGCAAAATATTACTAGCTTGGAACATTGCACTTTCCTCCATGATCAGAGGAATGGTTAGCCCCCTCCCTGTCCATCAAATGGTTCTACCCTGGAGGACAGTGCCTAGGGTAGAAAATGGAGAGGTTGTGACTCCACCACCCTAAAGTGGGCAGTGTGAGCTAGAACAATCCCACTGCCAAAGCATCATAAGACTCTGCAACCAGCAAAATGGTCATTAAAACCTGTCGGATTATATCCATGCCAGAAATCTGTCAGGATGAAAAGGAGAAGATTACTTTAACACTGGTACAGCTAAGAAAGACCCATGGCTGCCTCAGATGCAGGCTGGCGATCAGGCAAGTGCAACATCATGGAGACACAGCAGAAAGGGAAGCTGTTAGGGCATGTTTATACCACTTTAGGAAGTGCCTTTTGGATGAAGGCGGTAATCCTGGTTTCAGTTGAAGCCTGGCATATTCCACAAGCATAGGCCCAGAGCTTCAAATACTACTGATTTACCTTTGCGAAGAAAGTCCCCTTTGCTGAAATCTAGGAGATCAGGAGGCATGAATGTGTAGTTTGCTCTAGAATCCGTTTTCATGTTATCAAATGTAGCTTTATCCACAACATCATCTACCTCCTTTTCAGTTAGCTTTTTTCCTA